GTGAGCATTGTATGTCTGTATTCTGCTATGTCCATCCTTACACTTGATCACATTAAAATGGAAAATAATCTTCCCACTCAAATAGCAGCATGACTGACTCATTTACTGGATTTGAAAAGAAAAACAACACCCCCAAGGCCTGACTCTGATTAAGCCAAACACTACCTCTCATCTTCAGACATAGCAGACTTTGCTCACTCAAACATCACTGCACCACTGTGGCATTATTCAGTTTTGCAACAGATTGATGACTTTTTTATTTAATATGCAACTTGCTTATTCATTTTTCCCAGTATCTTACAGTACATACAATTCATTCTAAGAATTTTCACCTGTTTGCAATTACTGCTTGTAAACAACAAATGACAAACTTACAGGACCCAACTAGATATTAAAATCGTTAACTGCATCATCTGCTTTCCCTTACATCATATCCTCCTAACACATGTGGAAGGAAACCTGCACTTTAGAGGGCTGGGTATGCTACGTTTTATACAAGTTTCACAGAAGTTAAAATACTGCATAACCACTAGCTTCCTTTATTTAGATAACCTTTATTTCATCATTGAACTATATTACAAACCTCCTTTACCATGTACAGTAGCAGCAAAGTGAATGTTTTGCTTTATTGTTTTAATCCGTTGTATAATGCCATTTGTGTCAGGTTTTAAAATCTCTACTACATAATCACACTGCCAATTCTTCTTTCTTCACAATCACAAAAGGTTTGGAGGTCCTTCCAATTCAACTGGAACACAAACTTCAATCTCGCATCTTTATGATAAATGCAGGTCTCTTTGCAAACATGATATACTGTACTTAACTGAAATATTAACAATCCTTACTTGGCTACAAAGAAATAACTCTACAGTATGTCTCCTGCTGACCTCTGAACTCCTGCTGAGTTTCAGATGGTCCTAGAACTCAGCAGGAGTTGAAGACTACTGCACAATCTAAGCAAAAGCTGAAATCTCCTAGCCTAGATAGTATTCCACTAGTGTTACTGTTGGCACTGTGGGATCAACTTAGCACTTTAATACTGAATTTCATAGGCTTTTCCCTAGAGATTGGATCTTTTCATCCCATTCCTTCAGAAAAGGTGAAGATACATTTAGACCTGTTCAACAACTTTCCTTGTTGTAGAAGTCACTCATAAATCTGTTTGCAGACATTTCCTTCAAACATATAGACACATGTATGCATCATGAAAAGACAAGCTTTTTGAAGAGGATATTTGCTTCCCGTAATATTAGATTGATAATATTGATGAAATGCAATGGAAGTGCCTTAGAATATTTCAGTTTTGGGCATGTATGTATTTCTCCCTTCAGTTTGCACTCAGCAGAGACACTCCAGTGCTAGCCATTATTTCTTCTTGGATAATGCTTATAGTATACAGGCCAGCATTGCTCCCACTGAATAAGTTCTCCAAACTCCAGATTTCTGTCTTTGCTGTTGATACTGTACAGTAGATTTATGTAGGTATACTGTTATATTTTTAACATTTTCAGAATAAGTTAACATTTAACATTGTACAAAGCCATAAATGACATTTTCTGTACAGTGTATTACCATATACTTAAATATATGTGAAAAAGTTTACTGTGCATTATGTGTACATTTCCCATGTCTTTATGTACAGTACAAGTTTATGTCATAAGAGATATTCACAGGTTTTACTTATTTTTGTTAACTAAGTCACCACCATTTTCCTGCAGATTTGTAAAAATAATATCCTTTAAGCAAAATAAATTTACTTTGGATAGATTGTATTCTATTACAAGTTAGTCACAGGCTCTCTTTACTGAGTAGTGACATGAGCTCCAGTGCATAATGTTAAACTCCAAAACAGAGTTACAGGTTTACTTACAGCATGGCAGTCAGAAAACAACAAACAACAAAGAGGAAGTCCTGAACCATGTTACAAGAACACAAATCAACTTTAACCTTCCTCAGCCCGTGCGAGCAGGGTAAACTGAAAGAGGACTGTTTTATATACTGAAAGCTCCACCCCTTGTTACGCCTACGAGTGCTCTTAAAGTGCAACTTTCCTTTTTCAGAAATTGTTTTGCATCTGAGATGGCGTCCCTAAAACGTTTTATTGTTAAACAAGGAAGAGTTGATTACAAAAATATTAAAAATTATTATGATGTACAGTATGGTGATGAGATTCCAGTGTGAATGTGGGAATGGGGAGATCAGTTCCCTTCCACAACACAAGAGGGCGCTGTGAAAACATATCGGCAGGCATCAATTTACTGCTTCAGGTCTTTAGGCCTGAATCTGAGTGCGGTTTTGGCTAATAATGTAAGTGGGTGAAATTTAGTTGTAACCTACAGTAAATGTACCAAACTAACAAAACCACTTTCAAGCATATTGCCCTTTTTTTCTCCAGTCTTGCGCTGAAGGTTATATATTCATAACATGTAAGTACGTGTTTTTTTCCCTTGTTATCTTTAAAGGTCAGTTCTAAGTACAGTGTAACTGAATATGCTGTGGGATGGGTGCGCTACCTAGGATCTCCATTATCAATATGAACATACAGAACCCCCTCACATTACTGTATTTTTATATGCCCCATCTGAACAAATTAGCTTTGTTGTTAATAATCAAGGGTTCCTTTGGGGGAACTTACAAGGCCTTAAATCCTTTGGTGGCCTGGCTTTAATTTGAATATTGCTGTCCAGTTGGTGTTACAGTAATTTATACAGTATAAAGGATTCTGGTGCATCGATTTCATGCCATCTACGGTAAGTGAGATGGCGTTGCCTAAACCACTGGGACCGTTTATTTTGTATTGCAAACTCAAGGAAGATTTGGAACTAAATCCACTGCTTTCTTGGCATTCCCCCCAAATTGTAATAAGCTGTGGTCAGTTTGTAATAATTTCTTCTTAACAACTTTTTCTCAGCCCTTCGTACAGTATGTCTATATTGTACAACAACAAAGATTCTTACTCTCCTTGGCATTTTGGAGGACAATTGCCTGTATCTGTTTCAGGATCTAGGTTGGAAGTAAACTCAGTTCTTGGAAGGCCTAGTGTTTTCTGCTTTTTGTTTTCCACCCAACCTCTCAGTTACATAGGGGTCTAATTGTTTCACTGCATAATTTCTAACCTTGCTCCAAAGTGTTTTATAGGTATTGTAACTGTACTATTAATTGATGGTTTGAGGTATCATCTAGAAAGGATCTTAAGAAACATCCTCCACTGTATGTACTGTATCTAAGTTCGACTGATTAAATTAACAAATAACTCAATTTGGAACTCAAACCAGAAGACACTAGATCCTCCAGGAGTTAGACACCCTTGATCTCAGGGAATCTTGTTTTTTTTTTTATTTGATGTATCTCTAACCCCCCCCCCACCACCACCACCCACCAAACAAGCATTTTGCACTTCTTCCAGAGCTTGATGTGTTTCAACAGCTGCAGCATAGGATCTAGCTTTTGCTCTTTACAGTTACATTTATTGATTTTGCAGCCCCTGTCTGCTCCAGCTCTTTGACAGTTTGCACTATATAGTCCATCTTCAGGCACTGGTGTGTCTACATGCAGCAAGAACTCAACTTTGTGAGGCAGGATGAAGCTGAGATACTGGTTGTGTTCATTTCTAAATCATTTCTAAATATGTCAGCCTGGACAGATCCATTTTAATTTACAAAATCTCCCCCCTTTTAATTGTGTTCCATTGTTCTATATTTGCTTACTGTTTTTGATCTTAAATTAAAAATACAATTAATAAAAATAAATAATAAAATAATAAAATTAAGATCTTTAAAATCATAGAAAATAAAAATTCTCCCCCCCCAAAATATTTTATTAAAATCTGCTTCTCTAAAGAAAATGAATCTGTCCTTTTTCCTCAGATCTCTTCCTTGACCTTCTTACATGAACTGAAACCTGCAGCCCTTTATGATGAGCTAACATATGCTGTTGTGATGTCACTTACACAGTATGTATCTTCATGTAAAGCATATTAATTTAAGTATTGCAATGCTCTTTGCTTACCCTTGATTGCCCCAGTTTAGGTATAAATGTTTTGCAAGATGAGAACGATAGCATAGCCACTAAGTACAAATAAGGTTTTGTTTTTGGCATTATTTCACATACAGTACCTAAAACATTTTGAAATGTTATTTTCACTGAAGGGTAGTCACTCTTAACATCATGTCTTCACTGATGTGTAGATTTGAAGTCATTTGCGTCACCCTGGATAATAGTGATAATGGATGTCCTTGATTGCTCATCATCCAACTGTTTAACCTGCAGTTTCTTCCTCCACGTCTGTAATTTAACCTCTGGCATAGTTATTCTTTTATCTCGTGCCTTAGGCCTTGATATTTTTAATAGATGAACCATTTATCTACTGCCAGATATTTCAGCTTACGATAGTTATGTTTAGTGTATGAATAGTACGTGCAATATTTAAATTTTTAGCAATAGAAACCCTAGGACGTTTTTTTAATTTAGGATGTAGAGTACCATTAATTCCACTTTAAAGGGAGGTATTCAATAGAAACAAATGCAGAAACACCTTCGTTATAGGGATCTGAACACCTTATTTATAAATATGCACTACATTATGATTATTAATGCACTCTTACTATATTTGCCAGTAGGTTTTAGATGGCTTTTAGATTGTTTCCATTAAGCGGGAAGGTCCATTAGGTAATCAAGTTATTTGTTTTGTTAGGTAAAAAGGAAACCTGAAAATCCATCGATTTTCCATTAACTACGATAAAAGTGCATGAAATCATGGTGATTCCCTGTGAATCACAGCAGTCCTTGAAACCTGAAATGTCTTCTGTTGTTGATTCCACTATCTTCTGATGATTTCATTGAGCTCACTGTTTGGTCAAATAGACCACTCTAACCCTTAGAATTCCCATTTAAGAGAGATGTTCCCCTAAAGACCATTTGCAACTTTTTATAAAGCTTATTGGAAAAAATCTTTCATATATTTCCCCAACCCCGCCCGCAAAAGAAAAGACCACTGTGACTTGTTTTTCAAAATATTTTTATTTTTTTTTCCCTCACAAAGTTGTCAAATTACAAATGTCTTCTATCAAAGCAAAGAAAAATATTACCAAAATATGTTTTTTTTCCCTCTAAAAATGCAAAACTATCAAATAACTGCACAAGCAATGAAGTGTAAAACAGTTACATGTAATATTGCCACAGACTGACTTGTTTGGTATTACAGTACAGGAAGTGGGTCTGACAGGAGAATATTGCCCCATGCCAGCATCACTGAACAGAAATGATCCAGCCCAAATGGTATCACCATTGCCTGACTCTTCCCTATTCAGATTTCATGGATCTAACTGCAAGGCCCTCAGCTTACCCTTTATTGAGCCAAAATTGGTGGGTTTGTTGTTTTTATAAATCAAGCTGGTTCCAAGACAAATACTAGTGAAAATAAGCCTAATTATTATTTTTAGCCATCCAGTAATAAAAAACCTATATGCAATGTTGATATTGCTCAACCAGAGAACAATTCCAGCTCTATATAACCATATATTAAACATCAGATACCAGATGTGTTTTTGTTGATCAGCCACTCAACAGTGCACTCTCTATAAAGCAATATAGACCTCATGCCTGTAAATCCATGATGGAAGCTGAATGTTAAAATGAAGCTAAAGTAAATAAAATGGAATCGGAGTGAAACTGAAAAAACTGGAGCCCAGCAGAAAACCAATCACATCTGAATTAGGGCTTATTAAACAAATACAAATTACAGATGTTTTTATCCCCCCTAGTTATAAACAAAGGAAGGAACTTATCCCATCTTGCTAGTTTGTTAGGAGCTTATGTAAATTTCAAGAGCATGAGTAGGTAGGAAACAAAGTAACTCAGATAATGCAAATTGCACCCAGATTTTAGTCTTTGTCACATGTATTCTGAGATGTTAAGTGTATGAGAATCATTTTCTTAATACCCCCTACTCATTCAGGACTACTCATTGGTACCGAATTGGGGCTGAAAAAAAAAATCAATTGTAAAGTTTTCCATAATGAATCTTTTGAATTCTTCACCAATTTAATTTGTCTTTAATAAATAAAATTATGCAGCCGTAACTACCGATATCTCATGGTGCAACACATTCGAGACAACCAACTGTGAACACTACTAGGTCACGTGATGTACAGTATGTTTTGGAGATTTCAAGTTGCATATATTACTCAATTTCCAGTTCTTAACTTCATCTGGGGTCTGATGTAACCTTCCATCCTGTTTGGTCTCAGTGCACAGAGTGGTATCTATCACCCATCGACAACACCTGACCCCCAGGACTGTAAAGGTCCTGTGTTGTCAATGCATCGTACAGTATTTAAGTAAAGTCACACCTTGTACCTTTGATTACTGTGCAAGTGGGAAACGAAGAACCGTTTGAGAACGGACAAGGTCAAGTACATACATACTTATGGGAGGCCTGCCGAAGACGATTTGGAATTTTAACTTGAAAAGTTTCAAACAATGAAACTATTTTTAATAAAGTATACCAGCAGTGGCCCAAGCCTACTTTTCTTTTGTTGGAGACTAGCCATTTTAATAAGTATTCCATTTTTTTATATTAATCCCCTTTTACACGATGGGTGTATGCGAATGAAGGTCAATCTATGCCTGCAAGGTCTTAAAGCCCTAGCATTTCTGATTTGATCATTAAACAGTATGATGGGTCCGAAGCCCAGTGTACATAGGAAAAACCTTGATGATTTACTTCCTGACTAGATCATATAGAGAAGATACTGTACATATCTCACGCCTGTCTTTTGATTCCTCCTTCCCATTCAGTTTTACACATTTCAAAACCTCTGCAACAGAATGGTAAAATATGTACTGTACTTGCAGTACGCCAATATTTGAATATCTTTGTTTGGAACCAGCACTCTTTGATGTTAAAAGTAATAAAAGGCAGCAAGGGGCATAGAAACTAGAGCTTATTCACTTCCAAGCTATTTGCTGGATCTGCAGACACAGTCGGAATTTTGAAACTGAGTAAATAAACCACTGGTAAACAGACTTTCTGTCAAAAATCTGTGTGAAGCCAGCCCAACGTTATCATTGTGATTGTTCAGTGATTACGGCTCTCGTGGGCTGTTCTGTATTCTGTGTGGGTTAGCTACTGAACATGGAAAAATGAAGGCTTTTTCAAATACAAATGTTTATTAGAAATTATAAAGTTTTAGATTTTGTAAAACCCGTTTTAACACTTTTTTTTCTTTAGCTTACAGGTTAGTTTTAAAAAACAAAAACAAAAATGTTCAATAGTTTAAAAAACTTGTTTTGTGAATTCAAAACATCTTCCCCTTTTACATTTGTAAAAAAAAAAAACAAGGTTGGTACATAAGGTGTAAAAAAAAAAAAACCTTTCTTCACATCAAGATTTCTCATCTGGCTCAAGGTGCCTCAGTGTCTGATATCAGCTGGATGTCTGTTATAGGTTGATGCTCATCTCTTTGGGGAAACGCATAAGACTAATTGCTTTTGGGTAATATCTCTCCAAGATATATTTTGGGTTTCTATTTTCAGTTTGGGTTCTGTTTAACAAAACTAGAACTGAACAGGCAATTGCCAAATTTGTAATAACAGCATCCTTGTAAAATTAATGGCTCTGCATATATGCTTTGCCATCACATTACAGTTTTAACTTTTCATTGTCTTCAGTCTCAGTGTTTGAACATATAAAGTACCGACCGTTAGAAAAACAAATAAGAAGCTATATTTCTATTGCACATTTAAATTGCATGTAAGCTTATGCTGATTAAACGTTTAAATATAAATTGATTATTCTGTCTCCAGAAAGATTTGTAATCAGTTGCAGAGTGCTGCACATGTACAGTATAAAGTTCTAATACAAAAAGGCAAATGTGATTAAAAAATTAACAAACATGTAAAAGTGAAAAATCTGAACTGGGGTGTAGTTTACAAGAAACGACCTCTGCTTTCATTAACTTATCTGGTTTAAATGATACATTTATTGTAATTTGATAATTGATCACATTGACTAAAGCCTTTTTTGTGCATTTACCTTTGATTGAGGTTTTTGTGCATTTTTTAAAAATAAAATATTGAGTCTTCTTCAAATTCGGTTATAAAAAGTGGATGGCGAAATAGAATGGGGGAATCCAAATTATTGCAGCAGTTTACAAAATGCACTTTTAAAAAAAAATTATAAAAGCATTTTGAAAGTGGTGAGCTTGTTAATGTGAATGTATTCATGGTACATTGTGCCCTTTTGTCCTTCTAAGAAGGGCGTATCCTTCATTAGGTGTTAAACTGAAGTGAGTGTTTTCCCACTAGCCAAATGTTCCATGTGTTGTACACCTGGCTGTTAGACCATGAGGCCAGCAGTAGAATAGGAACTACTTTAGATGCCTAAAGCAGTTACAGGGTAACTCATAAAGTGCAAGTTAAATAAAACACTAATGCACTAGGATGTAAAGTTAGTGTTAGCCCCAAAATCCTCCATGCCAGCCCCCCTTCAATGAAGATGGCTGAGGCACAATGAACCCTGCATGGAATCCAACCATGAACTGGTAGTGGTTTCTCAGTGACATGTGGTGTTTGGCTGCTGATGTTGCTGGCTGAGTTACATTCAGTTGTATTTCACAAACATCAACAACAAAATAAAACCTTACCATACAAGGATACTTTCCACACTAACATAAAAATTTGGGTGGGGCGGGGGAGAGCTTATATTCTTTACACACTGACATATTGAAATGTTACTTTCAAACACGATACACTTTTTTTAGTTTAATATTGTGGCCCATTCCCCCTCCCCAAAGCAGACCACTTATTCCACTAGCTACAGAAAGGAGGTATAAAATAGAACGATAAAGTCCCATTTTGCAAATACTGCCTCATATGTATGAGATCAATGCTTCTACCTACAGCAATAATATTATAATAAAAAACAGTAAAAACACCAACAGAAAACAATATGTAACTTCCTCTGTAGAAAAAAAAAAGGAAATCCTAGTGCAGATACATAGCAATGTAAACCTGGTCCTACGACTATTAAAAGTTAACAAGTATAACATGGAAAGCAGGTCATTATTCCTCTCACAGAGAGCGCTCACATCATCGTTTCTACAATGGTGTGGGTGGGCTTTATCAGGCCGTTGTTCCCATTTGGATCCAGGGGATAGCCCAGCTCGCTGCCCTTCGGCCGGAGATCAGCAGGGCGGGAACTCGCGCCTCCTCGAGCAGGAGCCGCCACTGCCTTAATCCGCTGAGGGGAGAGTGAGAAACTGGTTCACACCTCTGTACGCTACAAGGTCTCCTCTCGTCTCTAATTCCTCATATATTGTGGGGGTCTACAGTAACATGACATGGCTGTGTTCTGGAAACTGACTTCCAGGGCTACACGATGTCAGGAACAAGACTCCTGATTAATTAACTAAACAAAATGATGTATAGAAAATTTGGAGTGAGTAATAAATGTTCTTATCTTTCTTACTTTATCCGTTATTTAACATCAACTGATTTGGAACTAGGAGAAGGTGTTTGCAACTACTTTGCTGGAATAGCACACTGTCAGCAAGTATCCTCTAAAACCATCATGAACAGGCAAACCTCTCTGGTTACATTTGAAAGGATCGGTTGAAATCAAATTTTAAGAATTGTTATCAACTGCAAATGAGAAAATCCAGTACTTGATGTAAGCTATATGTTTGGCAGTGGCCAAATAGGAGCTCACTATGAAGCACTGGGTCTATAACATTTGCAACTGGCAGATAGATGTAAGAAGTTTAGTTGAAGTTTTTTATACAGTATTTCTACCTCTATCTGAGGGATCATATAGCTATATAGATCATAAGTGCATTGATACTTTAGGAGGTAGGCATATGGGAGATAAAGCCAGGTATTTTCAAATCTTACCTCTATAAGGGGCCCATCAGACTGAATGATCTTGATGACAACTACCATAGGGATGCAGATCATGGAAGCAAGAGCCAAAGACCAGCCAAGACCTATTGACCAATCAGGGTACTCATAGACCTTGTTGTACTTCAAAGGAGTATATTTGGCCAAGGAAAAGATAAAGCAACCCTGTGGGAAATAGAAAGAGAAGAGATATTAAGAGATTGTATAACTTAAGATAGTATTAAGTTCTATACAGAACGTGCTATTAGGTATTTGTGTGCACGGTTAAGCACAAAATCTATGTCTAATCAGCACTTCAAATAAGCAAAAATGAACTTAAAACTAGATTTTGAGTATAAAACTGCAGTCTAGAAATAAACCCAGGACCCAAGTGCTGGAAGGTAGTCAGACACTGTGCCATCTCCATGTTTATTATGAAAAAATGTTCCTTGCATGTGATCAGTACACTGTAATCAACATAAGCTTTAAAATTTTCATTCATATTAAAACTAAAGTGTTTTACAGTAGCTAAGAACAAAAATAATGTCACCCTTAAGCAGGTTTATCCTGTTCCGATTGCTCAAGTAAAAAGCTTTATCAGAAAACTGCCTGTTCCTGAATGACTGTTTTGTATTGCACAACTGTGATTCTAAATTAAGACCGCTTTATAGATGATCCCGTCCAACTGTAAATAAAGCTCTGCTTTATGGATGACTTTTTCTTTTTAGTTAAGGACAATTAAATACGCCTTGCTTGTCAGTTTTTAAACAATATGGAAAATTCCAAATACAGGTTTTCCTATACAGGAAATGCAGGAATAGTAACTGCCATGACAATGCAAGCACCTGTTACATCTGCCCTTGTTTGACAACAACTGTGCTTATATCAGATTGAGTTTTTTTTATTAATCCATTATTTTAAAATATTCTATGAAAATGGACCAGTCAAAAGTGATCCTAACAAAATACGCCACACCAAAAAGCATTAATAACACACTAAACTATCACTATCTTTATCTAAAGAAAAAAAATAAACTTTAAGCAGTGTTTTGGACAATTTCGGTTTGTTTATTTTCAGATAGGACCAGTTCGGATGGTAAAACGAAGCTTACATTTCAAAATGGAGAAACTTCAAAAATTCCTGTAATTAAGATTCTTTCTTATGTGACTGTTATAATTGGCATATCAGCTACCCACCCTGTAGACTCTAGGGAACCCATTTGGAATTATCCCACATTTAAATCAATGGAAAGCAGATGGCCATCCCATCTGCTCTTAAATTTCCCAAATAATGGAGTGTCTGGAATGGTAGTGTAAAGCCTTTTCAGTACATGGGGGAAGGAAATAAAAATACAAAACTATTTATACCTATACACTGTAGGCTTAACCACTGAAACTCTGTATAGTTCTATGCAATATATAGAAAAAAGGAAAGTGTTGGCAAAGGCTGAAAAGACACTTTTTTTATTTAGACTACCCATTTATCATCCAAAGGATTATAAGACCGTAGCTGAAGATGATTTGTCTTTCAAGAGTTCAAGACAAAGTGGGAAAAAATAGTCAGGAAAGGTATCTTATTTTTTAGTTATTGTCTATTTATAAGACTGGGACTTTGGGAATACAAACCGCACATCAATTATTTTTCTTTTTTGCTGCTAAAAATGATTTGGATTAAAACCTACCACACAAAGTACAGGGGTGATTACAGTCCAGCTCCATTTCATCCAGGGATTTGGTCTGTAGCCAATCATGTCTTCAATCGCATCATAGAAATTATCAACGCCTAGAAAGAACCAGAACAAATGAAGGGGTTAAACTTGTGAAAAATCTATTCGGTTACTTAAAAGGGTAACTACTTGCTGCATGCGTTTTAAAAACAATACAATGTATGCAAAAAGCAAACCTACTCAGTTGATTGACTGAGAAAAAGTAAGCTAAGAAAACCAAACATGAACGAAGCAAGTGCATTGCTTTAAACTCTATATTCCAGTCTGCTCAGAAAGCACTAACTAATTGAAATCCCATTCAATGATAACGAACACCATGTAATGTAATACATGTACTGCTCTATTATTATGGAGCATCTTTGTATATGTTATACTTTTTATTTAATGTAAGATGGCAAGGATGTTTCATACTTAAAAAGGCTATCATGTGATTTTGCTGTGATAACGTTTTACATTGTGCAAAATAAAACACCCATCAGCTAAAGCCTTTACTATACTAGCACACTTGCAGTGTTCAGAAAAGGGCAATGGAGCACTCACAGCTTAATTTAAAAGGTTAAAAGGGGAGCAACACATGAAAGACTGAAAGGATTATAAAAAGTTTCAGATTATTGTGTATGTGATTGTGTTTATTCCATAAGGAAGAAAAAATACGCCTATTGTACACTTGGGCATCTCCAGTATTACAATTTGTGTACCCAATGGGTTTTTCTTATATATATTTTTTATCAGCAGTTAAAAGCTATAGGGTTGTATTTTATCTGTCATGTATGACCTGTTTTCTCTTTGTAAGTAAAAAACCCAGTCTGTCAGTGAAATAAGCTTCAGAAATCCTATGGCCCTGTGACCAGTTTTAAAAACAATCTCTGAAATGCAGTTATTAAATGTGTCGGACAAAATAATTTAATGAGTGTGGTCCTTCTGAGTCTTACAACTGGCACTTACCATAAACCCAGGCTACAGCAATACATTCAAAGAATGCAACCCACAAAAGGCACACACCACTGGCTGCATAGTAGTCAAAGAGTTGAAACACATACATGCCACCCTAAGGAGAGACAAAGGATAAGACATTCTAAATATTGTGTCTTGTGTAATAAGAGGGCATTAAACGTTTTGTTTTGCTCAAAGGAAAAAAACTATGGAAGATGAAGAAATAATCTGATCCCAGTGAAGAAGCTGTATGTTTGAGGAGGTTTTATTTTAATAGAAGGGTCCTTGATTTCATTTCAGCAGTGCACAGAGCACAAGCTGTGGGAGTAATGATGTAATGGAAAAGATCATACCAAGCACACCACAAATGGCAATCCCCACAGTGCCATTCACAGGGTGGTGGTGGGGGGGAGGCATTAATGGATGATGCACTGGAGACTGGTTTTGTACTGTAGCTCCAAGTATAGAAATAATAAATCATAGTAACTAGCTGGGAATTTCCATGAACCTGAATTGGAAGCCAATGTGGTTAGCAAGTTTTAGAATCGGACCAAACCACAAGCCCAGTCTACCAATGATGGGCCCTGACCAGCATGCTTTCAATATCTGGGATGCAGCACTTCTCAGTAGCTTTGATATTTAGAATTGTTTCCTGCCACTGGATCTTGCAGATGGATCAAAACAGTAGGTTAAGCACAATTGCTGTTTGTGACTAATTCATTAGGGTTAAGTAATGGTTGTGTGCAGGTGAATGAGTCGGTAGGCATGCTTTCACTTAATGATTGCTAATCCTGCATTAATAAATGTCTCGGTTAGAAGGTGTAATTGCTAGGACTTGGTAAAGATATTACTAAAACCAATTGCAATTGAAAAGTATTCTATTTGTAAAGGAAAAAAGTGAACTAAACATAGTTTTGTGACAAAGTGAACTTTGTTGAAAAAGGAGACTCAATATAAATACCTAATGTAGTAATGTAATCTCTTGATATGCACATAAAATGTGTATTTATTTTTTCTGAAATAAAGATAGATAAAATATATTCTAATGTATTGATTTAATGTTAGGGTTTAAATCTCCTCTGTATCAAGAACCTTAAAAGCCGAATGTTTAAAATGATATTTCTTTAATGGTTCCCCAAACTTGGTTTTCTTGATATACTTACTTCAGTAACCATGGTAAGTCCCAGAAGATAGCTCAAGAAACACACTATAGCTATAAAGATTTCCCGCCGGTAACCCTTCCTTAGGAAGGATGGATACAGATCAACCAACGATGTGATCTGTCCCTCCACTTCGACAAACTGCGGAAAAACGACAGAAACGTGAATCAATTTTAAAGATTTGTACTGGTCATTATGACCAAAATAATCATAGTAACACACAAAATAAGAAAATACCATTAAAGATAAGTGCTTAATTGCAGAGACAGTTTTTGTGACATTTAAGGACTTAATACATCTCCATTACAAATTCTGACCATCTTCTGGTCAATGGCATCCTTTGCTTCTGACGTTTTTCCTCATTGCTACTTGAAATAAAGGGTAATGCTATAAACAGAAAACTGTTCATTACGGTCTGGTTAATGAAGTGATCATTCAGAAAAGTGGCATCAATTTTTGTATCCTGAAAGTGCTCTCCTGACTGCAAGATGCATTATCCAATAACCAATATGTATAGGTGTACTGTCCATCATAAAGATTGCATTGTTTATCTATTTAATTGCTGCAGCATAGTAATGACATGGGTCATTTGCATGGTGTGGAATTATTCAACAGTGACATTGAACTCCCTCTTCAAAAAATTGAACCACACCACACTGTCACTCTCTCACAGATGTGCAAATGCATATAGATCTGTCTCCAAAAAAGTGTTCTTCATCCATTCACAGGACATTAGCATGTCTCCGTTTTCCTCCAAGTTTTCTATCCAACTTCAAGCAATCGTTATTTGCTTTGGCTTATAAGGTTTCCTACAAGCTCCATCCCATTTAAAATTTATGAACATAAGAAAGACCATAAACATTTGGTCTGTCTAGCCCACTTGGTAGTTCATAACTGATCCAAGGATCTCATACAGTCTTTTCTTGAAAGAAAAGAGGTTAACAGCTTCAACACTGCGGTTTTAGCCTCTGGGTAAAGAAGTGCTTCCTGGTCTTCCATTTAGTTTCCACATGTCCTCTGGTTTGTGTTTCACTCTTCATTCCGAGGAACTCCGCTGGGTTGACTTTATCAATGCTTTTGATGATTTAAAATACTTGGATTTCGTCCCCATATAATCTTCTGTATTTGATACTAAAAGGGTTCAGCTTTTTCAGCCTGTCCATGTAAGCAGTTCCTATAAGATCTGTGATGTACAGTATGTGTTGGTGCTTTGAATTGATTCCAGAGCACCAATATCTTCTCTATAACATTGTGACCGCAAATGAGACCTTATTATATAATTATAACATAACATAAATTCTCCAATCATTATTCAAGGACTCCTCAGAGGTTATGAAGAGAGCTGCCATCTTGTAAAGTTGGTATTTTCTGCAATGCTTGCTCACTCAGGATATGCCATTTCCTTCCTGAAGGCTCGAAAGTTGCTAAGCTTGACTTCAATCTGGTCTTTCAGATGATTTAGCGCTTGCTTTAGGATCTTCAGCCTCACATGCAGCTGCAGGTATTCACAACTGGATGTCCATCCCACCTTCGATTTTCAAACCGCTTTATCCGATGCAGGGTTGCATTGGAGCCAAGCCCTACCCTAACAAGAAATGCGCACAAGGCAGGAACACCCTGGACAGCGTTCCATCGCAGGGTACACACACACACTTGGGAAATGAACCCAGGGCCCCAGCACCGTGAGGCAGCAATGCTAACCACTGTTCCAAGACACGCAATTCAAAGATTCTCCGGGTGACCTTCTAGGTGGTAAAAGCAGATTTTGATCAAAAGTCAAATGTTGCCTTTGCCTGCCCATAATCATTGGTCAGTTCTAGACATGAACAATACACAATTCCATCTTGTTGAATGTTGGTAACATGTATGTAGCAAAAAAAATCAGACAATTAGGCTTTATATTCTTGGGTGAATTTCGGATCTATCTCAACTGCAAAAGGAATACACAAATTGAAATAAACATACAATTTCATTTTAAGATGAATGTAGGAAAGGCAATGATTTATCTACTGTCATTTTTCAGTGACCAAAGTTCACAAAAAAATCCTAATACTTGTTATCAGTTTTATTCCCAAATCACTTTAAAACCACAGAAAGGAAATATCAATGTAATCATTGTGTAGATATTAAGATGCTCATGGTTTAGAAGTTTTAACACCTCAAGGTGAAACAGGATGCCTATTCATTGGCTTCTGGCAAATGGCTCAGTCATAAATCCTCAAGGCTTAATGTAAATATTATTTTCAAACAGGAAGGATCGAACGGGAAAGGCTTAAAAAGCATGGAGCAGCAGTACTGCATACTTGAGGGCTAACTTAAAATTCAAATATGGAGTGTGTGGAACTCTCCACTCATGTACACACTCTGTACCATCAGTCTACATAAATCTATGTGCCCTCTCTTTGTCACTTTTTAATTCAGGTTGAATTGTGCAGCAAATGGCGAGGCAGAGTCAAATGTATCTAATAGTCTAAAAATACTTATTGCTAATATCACAACCAGTGTTTAGTGTTTTTTTTATATTTGTACCATAGTATAATACAGTGCACATATTTTGTTTTTGCACTGGCAGTTCTGACATTGCCTAATGATGCACAATGTTGTGAAAAAAAAACCCTTAAAAACACACACTTGAAATGTACAGTGTAAAAGACATGGAGTCAAAAAACAAAGCATGAAGAGGACATTTAGCTTACCTGGCTGTCGAGGCCCAAGAGCAGAAGCATGATGAAGAAGAGAATGGCCCAGAATGTGGGTAGTGGCATCATAGAAACAGCTTTAGGGTAGGCAATGAAGGCCAAGCCAGGACCTAGAGGGGAAGAAAACAGAAAAGGGGAGGGGGAAGGGGAGAGAAGATAATAAGTAAGGTGGTTCATTTTTTTAAAATCTGATCCAAGCCAAAACGCCAGATCCAAAACAAAAGCAGCATTTGGCGGGGAACAGATTAGAATCCATGAGATGCGTATATGTAAGGCAAGCGAAGCACATCTTTAAAAGGGGTGCTGTATATGGTTTGTCTTCCTCAATTCAGTGGTGTAGCTATTGAAATGATCTGTTGCAAGATTTATCTCCAAATGTATTTACTGAAACAGGGTTAAAACGCTTCAGCATTGAACCGTGTTCGTCTCCAAGAAGGAGCTCTTTCTGTACCAAACAGAAACCTTGCCAAGTTATCACGGTAACAGAGAGGTGAAGGGGCAGGGCGTACTGATTGACTCCATTTGCCTCTTTAATTTTGCATGATGCGCAAGGGTGCCGTTGGTTTACCTGTTCGGCAGACATTCAAAACAAAACAAGAAAAGAACTGTTGCAATCCGTTTAGCTGCAGAAGTTACGATTAGAGCATTCATAACAGACACAACAGACTTGATGAACTGATGAGCCCACGTTTCTTTAATCCAAAAACAATTCGCATAAGTGTCCAGCAGCATTTTTCAGGTCAAGATGTCACAACAGAAGCTTCAACAAGCCAATCTTGCTTAATAACACCTTTTCACTGCTTACCTTAATGTGGTTTAGTTCAAATATTTCATGTCTTCCAGCTCTCTGAAGATACAATTTTATATAACAGCCTTCTACATTATATTGATCCATTTCCCATTTTGCGCCATGTTTAAATACTATCCAAGTAGGATGCAAATTAAGAGGTACAAATTGTATCCAAATTAGATGAAAGTACAGAACATCTGAAAGATAGCTTCCCCCAATGCCTGCCCTTCCATCCCCACTGAGTAACTTATACTGATGGATCAACAAGCAGAGGGTTGCTTTTAGAGTTGTATCTTCAAAGAAACACATTGTTGTAGACAAGGAAACTAAACACTGAAAAAGGGAGCCAGTGAAACAGGATCTCAGTTTAAAGCAATCAGGTAAACCCCATTTACTAAAGGCAGAGACTAAACAACTGCTATGACAGCAAATGCAAAATTTCTGAAGTTCAATTTCCTTAGAAAAAAAATGTGACCTGAAAAAAATCACCACACCGAAACGTGTTGGCCAAGTTGCCACATGAAGAGAAAAAAACCCCAGAGGTGCAATAATGTGAGCATGCCGAGTGAAAACACATCTGCATATCCAGTTAAAAGATAAACAGGGAAAAAGGGAAGAATGAATGGAATCCGTCTCGGACATCAGCCAGTGGTTCTTAACATCTTTCGAAAATTTCCAAAAGAATGCCCAGTGGTTTCAAACAAACCGATAAGTGGTTGCAGGTAATTACAGCCCATTGTGCGACAGCATAATACTTCATCATTTGATTTTTTTTTACTTGGCACAAGATGTTGTGGCTGGTTAACTACTGTATGTTTTTTTTTGCTTCTCTCCAATATCTGTCTTTAGAAACGGACTGTCTGAGCAGCACACTCACATATAAAGTAAACGAGGAAAAGAATATGCCGCTTTTTTAACTGACAGACGCTTCTTTGCCACTAGTTTTTCTAGATGAAATCCAATAATACAGTACGAGAACATTCCCCAGCGTTTTCTTGTTTTAAGATCTCTCTCGAGAGCTTTACGCATGTGCACATCCAGCAAAACGGATTCTTTTCCACCGGAGTCTCACGGTTCGGTTTTCGTTTGTGTTTACGTTTTTCTAAAAATCAGGAACGTTTGACCGCAAACTCTTACTTCACTGTCGTTCTTATTTCCCGTTAAAAAATGATTTTGTGTTCTTTTAGGTTTGTCTTTTTTTTTTCTAGAAATTGAAGTTTTTTTTTACCAACTCTTTAAGTAGCAGCGCCCACCATCACTGCTACTTTTACCCTCGTACCTGACTCTGCCACATCGGCAATGTCCACCCCTTGCTCTTGTGCCATGAAGCCCAGGACGGAAAATATTGCGAAGCCAGACACAAAACTGGTACCGCTGTTCAGGCCTCCCAGCAGCAAACAGTCCCTAAGTCACACATATGTCATGGAGTTTGTTAATTAACACAAAAGGTCCCCCTTTTTATAACCCAAGTTTACAGCACTACCCCACCTCCCTCCCCCGCAGCTAGGAAGCCTACCTGTAGCAGTTGTATTTGTATTTGTTGTAGCTCCCCAGTGAAGTCATTGCTCCCAGGCAGATTGCATATGAGAAGAAAATTTGAGTCCCCGCATCTATCCACACCTAAGATAAAAAAAGATTAAATCAGAGGGGCTGTAAATTGAAAAATGCACCTCGGCACATGTATCAGAACACCATCCCTCCTGGAGCCTATGTTGTTGCAGTTAGCTCATACCAAAGGGATGTCTGCCATTTCCTATGCATTACCGCTCCTTACCACATGCCTGTGGCTCTGGAGACTCATTCTAATAAAGTTTGCTTTGTATTGTGTGTTTCTATAAAAAAAAATGTAAGTAGTGGAAAGAAAAAAAACTCCTGCATCCTAACAAAAACTGGCAAGCATGTGTTTATTTGGTGTATAAAAAAAGGAAAAAATTTGACTGGACAAAAATTTTAATTCCTTCCACACCCTTAATATATTAATCACTTGGGTCTTTAGCAGACATGTCTTAATCCACTTTGGCCTCACATGCTTGGAACAGATTGTATCATTATATTTAGCTCTGCCAAGTCTTTTTCCAATGCCTGAAAGTCCCATTAAAGTCTTATGTTTACCATCCATATACAGTCCCATGAGATGGTTTTATTATGAATCACAAGCAACCAACTAACCTTCATTCCCCTAGTTTAACACTTAATGATATAATGATGTTTAGGTTAATGGCTGTGCTTCAGACTTGTGTACTAGAAAGTCAAGTACTGTGCAGAATGCTCATATATCAAGGAAAGCGAAAATCTGAAAAGTGTCCCTGGGTACATCGGTAAAGCACATTTTTATTCCGTTTCGTCCACGCGTAACGGGGCACAGAAAGGGGATGGGCTCTTACCTCTGGGTCTGCCAGGCGGCTGAGATCTGGATAAAGATAAAACTTGATTCCTTCGGCGGCACCTGGCAGGGTGACCCCACGAACCAGCAACACAATCAACATGACGAAAGGGAATGTTGCTGTGATGTACACAACCTGAATGAGACAATCCCCAAAACAAGAAATCAGTGATTGCATGTAGACAGCTAATTTGACATAACAGCTAAAAAAAAAAAAAAAAAAAAGCATTTTAACAGTTCTATCACGGAAGCTGATTTTAATCGTGCAGTTGCACACTATACACAATTAAAGTGCATTTTACACACATGATGCACCCCCTGACAACTGTTTAAATCATACAGCCTTTCTATTTTCAAATAAAAAAAAAGAGATGTACATTGATTTTGCATGTTAATGCCTGTTAAGCATATAAAAAGAACAACAGAAGCTGCAATAGGACCTTTTAGTCTTCATCTCTGCTTGTACTTGGGCTAAAAACAGACTGGCCAGCTATTAAGACTACAGCTGTTGTAAAGCAGTTCAGCTGTCCTGGGTTGGCAGATCACTGGTGCTAGAGTATAACATTATAAAGGCCAGGAAACACCATGCTGATTGATGGCAATTCAGAAGACAACGTATTCTGTATACGGAATGGAAATTGACTCCACATCCAAACTACTATAAATATGAATGCGTGCCAGACAATAGTTTCTCCTTCCAAATGTTTCAGATGCCTATCAATTGGAAGCCACAAATGGACTTGACAAGAAATGAAACAAGAGATTCACCTACAAGGCCACATCTGCAAAGGTTTTACCACAGTGCCATTTATAACAACTATAACTGCAATCTTTTATAGAGAAAGCAAACTCTCAAATATTTTTCAGAGATTTACATATCATCTTACATTTATAACCTAATGTTTTAAAGATGCATGTTTTGTTATATTTCTTTATTTTGTTAATTAAATGTTAAATTTAAATTTTGCTAAGTTACTGTTTATTATGTAATTAAAAGTAATGGTAAAGAACCATCTATGGTTTCCAAACAATTTGGATAATGTGCATTTCAAGTTCAAAAACTTGTCAGAAAACAATTACTGGACTATTCCACTATTGCTGCTGAAATAAATAACATTATATGCACAGGACTAACTGAATCACTATAGACATACAGTGTACAGTAGTAATATAATATATATGTATGTAGTAATATATATGTTTCAGACACTAGAGGCGAGACTTCTTGGGAAGATAAACTGGCACGGTGGTGAAAATGGAAAATCTGAAGTGTCTGCAGCATAAATCTGCACAATATATAACAGTTATAACACCAGGCAATGAAGACACCACAATTAATAAACAATACTGTCTGTGGTAGTTATGGAAACTAATTAAATATATCAAGGCAGTATACACACAGTTTAGTTTAGGAAATAAGATAACAAATGGCAGCGTTTGGATGGAGACTGGTGAAGCTGGTGGGAGGCTACAAGGTGTCGAAAACAGTTCTTACTTTCCCAGTCGACTTCACTCCTTTCCAGATACAGAAGAAGCAAATAACCCAGACGGCCAAAAGGCAGAGAGCAAGATCCCACTTGAGAACGCCCACCTCATCAATACTACTGGAGATGCTCAGAACATTCCGTCTGTTGGGAAAACACAGGCGTTCACATTAATATGGCCTGTCACACAGTATTCCATTCTTTGGATCTGATTTATCATTGTGTTTTCTACATGACACACTTAAGCTTTTGCTAACAAGCTTCTGTATTATTGAATTTATAATTCTGTATTATAAAAAGAGATGTGTAATTATCTGTGTATCCTGTAAACCCGAACAAACTGGTTCAGAAGAAGAGCGAAGTACATTTTGTAATGAGAAACCAAACCCTCAGGAAATAAGGGTTCAAGAAAATTTGGCAAATATTTGTATACCTGGAGGTAACCGTTTTATTCCCATACTGTTAAATCCAGTATATAAAAGCACACTGCAATTGGTGGTTTATGTAGGAACAATGTACAGTAGCTGGAATGTCTTTTACAATATAAAAATGTACTGAAAATATATGTATAAAAATAAACATTTAAGGGTTTTTTTTCCCCCACACAATGTAATGCACAAACATCACCCAGTTCTCTAAACCTAAATATACAATAACTTAGTGCCGTCAGTTAAAGACAACAACGAAAACATTACGCAACAGAAGCACTGAGGTTATATTTCACCTTATTTAAATAGTGCAGTAAAAATGTATGAACACCTGATCAAATACTAATACTGAAGCCCAGGTTACAATATCAATAGAGAGAAAAATGTGAAAAATAAGCGGAAATGCTTACTCCCAGAATTCTGTAACAGGAGAGGTGAAGTTGGTAGTGTTCAACGACAACCAGAGGGTCTTGTTCTTTCGGAGTGTGTCCTCCACGCAGCTGGGGGTGTTCCAGGGTTGATTGCACCTGGCCCAGGGCAGCTCAGGCTGGAAGCACTGAAACAGGTAGTACAGGCCCCAGGCTAGGATCACGATGTAGTACACGTTGAGCAAGGAGACGATCACAATTGAAGCATAGCCAATACCTAAGAAAAAGAAAACAAACACTTATTTCTTGGTGCTGTGGAAAAAATAAACACCTACACACTGTATACTTGAAGACTAAAGAATCTTATTTTATCTCTAAATAGCACCGAGAGAGGGCTCCTCTCATACAGTGTATTCTGTTACACAGTAAGATACATACTGTATTAGCACAAAGTGGTCTCAATGGGTGCATACAGTAGGTGCTTGGAATTGTTTACTTCTTCATTTGTTTTGTTTCCTATTCTCAATAAAAGCTTCTGAGCAACTACACTCCCATTGAGACCATTTTGTGCTAATGGTTTTCTTAACCGTTCTTGGAGAAATGTTAACACTTTTATTGCAGCAAGGTTATTTGCACAGTGTATGTGTACGATCTCTATGTGTACCGTCATTTATCACTCAATTTATTCTTAAGGTTTCGACCATTTTTGGAAAATAGGTTTTAATAATAATAATTATTAATTGCTTACACCTATATAGCGCTTTTCTGGACACTCTACTCAAAGCACTTTACAGGTAATAGGGACTCCCCTCCACCACCACCAATGTGCAGCATCCACCTGGATGATGCGACAGCAGCCATAGTGCGCCAGAGTGCTCAACACACCCCAGCTATTAGTGAGGAGGAGAGCATAGTGATGAAGCCAATTCACAGATAGGGATTATTAGTAGGCCGTTGATTGGTAAGGGCCAATGGGAAATTTGGCCAGGACACTGGAGTTACACCTAGGTTTTGGGTTTTCTTCCTCAGGCACTTTTGTTGTCAACAGCACCAGTTCCATAAATGCCCCTCAGGGTGTTACAGCACTGAATGGAACACTTAAATCTACCAGTAAAAGCAGCCCTCTTTAGCTAGAATTTGATTTCTATTCTTGCATCATGCATGTTTTTGTTCCAAAGATCTTTAGTGTTCTACTAATGACCACATATTTATAACTCTCCAATGCTATCAATGCCCATACATATACAGGCCTTGAGATGCTGTGGCATTTTCTGATGGGTTGTCTAACAAATGAATGACATTGTACCATGTAAACATAATATTGGATTTGGTAAGTCAAAACTTTCATCTATAATTTATAATTTGACAGGTGTACACACTTCTCATCAGTACCCATAATTATACCATTACAAAATGCTGGATTTTGAAATCTCTTGACACAGGTGCCACCTCAAGCAGGTAGGTGCTCCGGAGTCCAAATGCTGAAAAAACTTTGGCAGGAAATTGCTGAGCACCCACCAAAAAAAAACAGAGGGCATGCTACACACCCATGTGATTAAGTATAGTTTACAATTAAAATATTACATATATGCAGTTCAATTCAAATTTAATACATTTAATATCTAAGGGGCTGTTCCTTCTGACCTGCTTTGACTCATGGCCTATTTTCTGTGTAATCATATTCCATCCAACTGGAACTAGATATGTATCCTCGTCACTGTTATATAAAGCACCTACAGGAAAACATCAAATTTGCTGCTTAGGATTTAGCATTTATGGGTTATTTGTGTGGAGATTATAAAGCAAATGAGGACCTCAGGATAAAAGATCTTGAATCCCCCACTTCCACAAAAGATGAAGTTCAGAAACACTCCATTAAACATTTGGTTTAATACAATCAAGCCTACTAAGATGACAATTTTAACAAAATACATTTAAAACTAAAAGCTAACAAAGCACCATTAAAAGGACACCAAGATTAAAAATGGCATCAGACTATTTTTAATTGCTGATAGAATGGCTTTCGTGCCATGAGACTGAGCTAAAGCCCTATTTATTCCCAAATACTGAGGAGAAGAAGCAGAGTTGCTGTAGCTGTTACTTGATAATGTACAGTAAAACTAGTCCTGCCAGAGGTTCATCAGCATTGGCTGGAGTGCCAATGAAATCCAGTAATGACGTCAAGACCTCGGCCACCTGTGAATGTTTCTCTTTCTGCAGAGTGCCTGTGAGGCTGACTGATAGCCGTTTCAGCACCACGTGATTAGCTGACAAGTTAATTAACAGCTGGTCTAACTCTATAGCCATTTTTCTCACTGGTCTGGCAGGAGATTACTGTTAAAATATTGTAGTTTCACCTTTCTGTCACTGATCACACAAATACGATACTGCAATGAATATTAGGCCTGGTTTGAAATGTTCAGCACACTCCCTTAACTGCGTGCAAAAAACCGTACTGGTGCTAAACAGTCAAATCAATCCACTCTGGTTTCAACCAAGATTGCACTTTAAGTATATTAAGTGAATATCCCCTGGATGGAAAATATGCAACAGTCCCGGGGTATACTGTATTATCAATCCACCTAATGAGTGGAAGGTATGTTATTCTTAAACAGGACACAGAAAAGTCAAGAATATACAGTAAGTATCCTACAGCCATCACTTATAAATCAAACCATCTGAAAAAAGTACCTTGCAACCACAAGTTTTTGTATTTCCATCCTGTCGTTGATCTAATACGGGCCCACTGTGCTGTGGCTATAGCATCATAAAGTATTATTCTGCACAAAAAGGCATTGCTTTTCTCAACTTTCCTATCAATATGAACTGCTTGTTTTGAAAAAGAACTGTGACCTAAATAAATGCTGCAATGCTGCCATTTTCTGTTCATAAGATGTCTCCTCTTTGAATAGCTCCTAGGTCTGCACTCATTGCTAGGCATCTCCCTGATGTTGTTTCTCCACTCTGCTGCCATGACAACCCAGAACGCAGCACACACTGTACATGCGTAAGTCTTCGGCCCTGTATTTTTACATGGAATCCAAGCGCACAATTACAGGCGCTGAGCTCAGTGAGGAAATTGAATTTCAAGAGTTGAAAATGCATTCATATTAAATGCTGCTCTTGATGTACTACACTGCTTACAGGATCTGAATCAAAGGTAGTGTGCTGTACCAGGTGGAAGACAGGGAAGAGATTAGATGTGCTGGTCCAGAGGGTTAAACAATCCAGAGTGATTTCTTTCATACATGAAAGGGCAGCCTAATTAAGCAAGTACAGTTCAGTTGGCTGTGGAAGAAAAGGCAGGCTGAAGGGAACATGTTGTATCTTCTGGGATCCTAGCAACCAGGGCCACAATAAAAGTTGAACTGTGTTTAATAGGTTTAAATAAGGCTCAGCAGAGGAACAAAGCAAGTCAGTATTCCTACTTTTCGCCTATATGGAAAAACAGTACAGGTGTAAGTGTAAGTAAAAATGCTATTTATATTGATATTGCATATAATCGATCAAGTTGACAATTTTGATAAAAAGCTCTTGACAGGTTTTAAATTTGTGTTCCACTCATCGCTCCTTTATGTGCATATGATCAAAGTGTCCGAAGATGGTTCTTTAGTGTGCCTAACACATGAAAGCTTTCCCAGATACTGTACTAGAAAACTGTGCAGCACTCAATGGATGGTGTGCTTAAGAATAAAAAATTAAGCAAAGCATGCAGGTACACTGCAATGACAATTTGCAAAGTATGTATATAAAGGAAGTGTTTTTGATGGTTGCATTACTTGCACAATTGGGGAGCATGATCAGTGATCATCATTTCAAGTTTATATATCCAGAAGACAACATTCACAACTAGCTATTGGAGTATCACCTTTTTAATCTTCACCAAGGACAAGAAATGTACACACATCCAAACATAATATGGAACCAAATAAGAGATCATTGATTTCTACTGCCTTCTGCTTTAAATAGGGCATTTCATTTTATAAGCTGAGACCTTTTAACTTTGAACATAACTTTTGTATGATACGCTTGATTTTCTTTAAATTTGATCACGACTTACCAGGTATCTTATCACAACGATTAATCACTTTAAAAATATATACAAGGTGGTCCAATATACAGAAAAATGTTGTCCTTCATCTGAACGATGTGAACCTGTACTTCTTTTAACTGCACTGCAGTTTGCACTATTTGTACTGTATTGCACTGTTTGCAGTACACTGGATTCCTCTCCGAAGCGGAGTTTAAGCACACTCACCAGTAAAGATTGGGCAGAGCTTTTCCCAGCAGGTGATTCCGCCTTCAGAAGTGAACTGACCCAGAGCCACCTCCAGGAAAAACACGGGCAAGCCTCCACCAAACAGGAAAATGAAATACGGGATGAGAAATGCACCTGGAGGAATAAATAACCGCAGGTCAGTAAAATGATCTGGGAGTGGAAAAAACACACAAAAAACAAATCATGTTTATAAAAACATAACTGTCTATTTTTTCGTGTACTTGACATACCTATTTTTCATTTACAAAAATGTGCTTCCATGAGCCTACTACAATAATTCGCATTCAGGTCCAAAATCATTTTCAGAAATCTCATTAACCAATGCCTATCTGTTAGAAGTATCATTTTCCAATCACATTTGAAACGAACAAAACATTCATTCAACACTCATTCGGAGATGCTCACCTCCGCCATTTTTATAGCAGAGGTAGGGAAACCGCCAGACGTTCCCTAAACCGACAAAGCCGCCCGCTACGGACAGGACAAAGTCGAGCTTGCTCGCCCACTTCTCGCGCTGGGGTGGTTTGCCCTCTGCCTCGTCTTCCGGACGGGTTCCTGGGCTCTTGCCTGGCGAGGGCTTGAGAGTGTCCTTGTGGAAATCCTTCAAGCATTGGAGCTTCTCTTTCTGTGCCATGCTGTTCCAGAGAAGGAAAGACGAGAGAAAGAGTCGTGAGTCCCTCGAGGAACGGCATGAAGCCCTGGATTGGCACAGACACTGTGCCGGTGGACCAAGCGGCAGGAGCAAAAGTGACCGTCCAGCTCTGCACCTCCAAACGCAAAGACTGCAGGAGGGGGTACTGTGATTTAGGAAAAGTAGCAAAGCCCACTCCCTACTGCTGGGCAATTTGCCTAAAGAACTGTATATATGGAAAACAGTCTCCTCCTCCCTGCTCCCCAACACAACACACTGTTCCCCATGCAAATACACACTCATTTATGCTGCTAAAATTAGCAGTGACCACCCCCCCAACCTCCCCAACATGTCTATAGTGTAAAGCTGAGTCAGCCCCAGCAGTGAGTTTTAATCCATCTAAAATGAAGAGCTGTTTGCACTACTTTATAGAGCGAGAGGAAAAATCCAACTCAAAATGGATGTCACCGTGGCTGCCTGGTATAACTGTCCAGGCGCTGCAATGTCTACATAAAATCGGATGAACCCATAACCAAATTTGGAAAGTTTCCGTCATTTGCCTGCTTTTTAAAGCATTTCTTTTAAAATTTGAGGTTTAAAGACTACACATCTCAATCATAAACCTGAGTTTGCTGTTGATAAGAGCAGAAAATATTATTTTAGTTATACTTTTCAGAAAACTGTCATAAGAAGAAACAGAGATGGATTCTCCGTGACCCTCCATGCCCAAAAGGCATTAAAAAGCTCAGCGTTCATATATAGATATTACACTTTTAAAATACCTAAAATAATGCTTCCAAGAACCATGTTCAATTCTGCAGTATGTAATATGCCTAGCCCTCATCTTAATTCACGGAGCTGGTGCACAGTTCAGCTGTTTTTTGTAATGTGAATCTGAAGCAAAGGCCCTGTGTTATTCAGGAGGGAAGAAATGCCAGAACAGGAACAGAAATTGGTTTCTGCAGAATGTGTTCTCTCTGACTGTTTGCCATGTGCTTCAGACCACATGCTAACTGACAGTTGGCTACGCACTTAAGTTTTTTGGTTTTCTGGAGGGAAAAGGGGGGAAAAAAATGATCCACACAAAAACAGAAAACTGGAAACCACTGAGGCTGCCTCACATGGTTTCCAATCAGGAAAAACTGCCTGTGTCAATGTGAGAAAACAGCTACAGAATGTTCTTTCCTAATTCCTACAAGTATTACACAATATGCCAAACACACCAATGAATTATATTTCAGAACGACTGTGTAGCCTTAAGTTATGTTTACACTATCAAGATACTATTCCAAGAAAAAAAAGCACTGTTATTAGTGTCCTGGGTATCACATTACAAGCACAGTGCCAGAAAATTGCAGCACTCCTTTTACATGATCCAGTGGACAGATTAACTAGGACAAGAAATTCTTTGGCTTCTAATAGGCAGGCTGGTTTTCAGTTCATGTTGCTGAAACAAATGGCAATGTGTCCAGAATAACCATTGTTCAATTTGCTTCTTCTGGCCATTTTGTTTTAAAAACAAAATTCTCTTAAGTAGAGTGCCAGAAATACCTTTGGATCACATTCCCTGTCCTTTGGCACTAGTTCAAAGTGAGACACAGCCAAAACCTTAAACTGAGAAACTGATTTTGTGTTGAAGGCATGGGCTGTCCGTCATCTGTTAATTACAAAGAACTCACAACAGGGACTATCATTCAACCAAATTATAAACCTTTGCATCCCCTTCCAGAGTTACATATATTAGCAAAAATCATAAACGTGTGAATAACACAATAAAAGAACGTACTAACGCTTAATTGGCACAACTGTAAATTAAGACAAAAAAATACTGTGTGACTGTAAAACAGTGATGCAGTAGTTTTTTTTTTCTCATTACAGATTGTCTGAAAATAATTGCCTGTACTTCTGTTTTTCTACAAACAAAATATTAGGTCTCAATGAAAGAATAATATTAATAGTTTAAATTCCAATTTTGTTATCTTATCAAATTCCTTCTGAGTCATTAGGTTTTTAAAACTGTTTCCAGAAAATGTGATTAGATTCTGCACTTGCTTCTCAACGGTCTCCTGTGTTTTTACTTTGTTTTGTTTGGACGTACAACAGATTATAAACAATGGAGACCACCACAGCTTTAAAAAAAAAAGCCCAGAGGAATTAAAACAGTGAAAGTAAAAACAGAAATACCCGCATGGCTTAATGGCTTCAGCCCACATTTACTATTTAAGAAAATAATAATACTCAAGAATGTTTACTCAAAATATACTGGAGAAATACCTATTTATAACTGTCAGATGAGAGCCAAGCGAATTGAAAAAAAACATAAACTATTGTTTTATGATGCAAGCTTCATTTTCCGTTAAAGTTCAAGCAGCTTTTTAACCTGAATATGAGAAAGATGTGTGGCCAGCTGTATAGAAAATAGACTAACAGGTCAGTGCTCTACACTCTTTATCCTTCATTACCCTCTAATTCAAACACAGTGAGTCATTCTAAACACTGCAGGTTGCAAGTTCACTTGATTTTCAAAGGATCCCTTTGACCTCGATGAAATAAGACATTTTAAAGAATAGAAAAGTTTAGTTCAGTCCAAAACTCAAGTGTCCTGTCAACTGACATTTCCATTCTTTTATCTTTCATTACCACTGTTTATTTTTCAATATTTGAAGAAGGTTTTTACATTTCAGATAAAAAAGGTCTACTACATCATTCCAAACAAGAGCCTTCTGTAGAAACTCTGCACACATTACCAGCATCAGTCCCTTATTTTTTTTTTACTTTTTCCCTCGGACTCCACATTACAAAAGCGGAGGTACAAACAATTTTGATTTTCCCTTTCCATCACATCTTACAATAGAACCCATTTCAGAACTGTATGGTTACTCCCACATTTAAATAGAAAGGATTCTATTTTTATACTGATGTATCCGTGTCTATACAATAAGTACATTTTTTTTCAGTGCAAGAGCACACAAGATTAGCAGCAAAGATATAAATCAGAAGATGCTGTAGGGCATCGCCTGCTGATTCCTTTACTTTAATTATAATACAGAGAAGAAAACACAAACAAACAGATTGTTATTCATTTTTTCTATGGGGTCAAGAAATTAATTTCTCTGTGGATATAAATAAATGCTTAGACTTTGCTTTGATTACCTCTTACTTGCTTAAGGGAAAAAAGGGGGACCTTCTCTTACGCAGTAGAAATACAAAACTCTTATTTTAGGAATTTAGAAAAGGAAACTAGTATTTATCACCTCCAGATATAGCTCTCACTAGGACTGACAACTTCTGAATGTACCCCCTTTATGAAGACATGATGGTATTTTGGTCATCTGCATTCACTTTGCACTGCTATGTTTTAATTCTCTTGGTCCACAGAACCTCTGATGCTTTCTAATATTTCTCAGCATTTGTTGGTTCTGTTCCAGTCTTTGATGCACAATAGGTTTGGCTATATTCTGATGCATTGCATCCAAGTGGAAAAAGCTCTCTAAGGAAAGGGTAGTTTGTTTCCAGTCAAAGTTGATCAATTTAAGTCAACTTCTACAATACATTTTAATATTGTGACTTTTGTGTCGGCAGTGTAAACCATTCTTAATATTGCAATGAAGCACACTGTCTAAATCAAAACCCTGTGGTGCTAAAGAGTTATGATGCATAGTTTCAAATTATTATTGAGGCAATGACACCTACATGTCTATTCTACACGTCTATTCCTTCAACTTTCTTCTTCTACTGAAACAGATTCAAAACAGTAGAAAGGCCAATGTCTTCCGTGACACCTCTTATTCCGTACGATACTTCTCATCAACATTTAAACAAGTAGGGAAGGATTCTCACAAAACTTCTCTGCCAGTTTGCAGAAACATTTCCTGCAAAAACATGGCAAAACTCAATAAAAAAATGTACTTTGTTTCCTTTAATCTGTAAATATCTCAAGTATTCCAAATTGTCTGTCGCTGCACATAAAGACAGCTTTACATAAGGTACAATTCAGCTTTTGAAATTGGCTTTGTACAATAAAGCTTGGTAAAATCTGTTTATGTTATCTGGTGTTTCATACAAATTCTTTAAAAGTAGTACACTGTCAGACTATTCAAGTAATCTACTGTACCTGCTAATCTGTGACCTTCCTCACCCTTATGACTCCTTTTCACACCACCTTAACAGAGCTTCAGTAGCTGTTCATGACAAAGTTCAGGGTCTACAAATGTTTTCGCCCTTTTCAACATGACTGCTTTTAGTTTACTTTACATTCTAGCTTCCACAAACAAACACACAATATGTTTGAGAATAATAATAATAATAATAATAATAATAATAATATAGAGCACTGAACCCACAATCTTTCAGTTAAATCCCAGATCCCTTATAGTAGTAGTATACAAACTACTACTTGAAGAAAAATCTGTTCCCAGAATATAGAGAGCAAAAATATGAAATATTACCAAGAATGTGGAACAGTTGCTGTCCAATTATTTTTTCTTACGATTATTCATCCCACTAGCAAAAGGTGAGAAACAACATGACATTCTGCTTTTACACATTCACTGAACTAGACACTGATGTAAAATGTTCACAGAGAACAACTGGAATCTGAGATAGGACTGAATAAAGTATATTTTTCAAATGCAAATTCCGAAAAGTCACCAAGAAAAACTTATGTTTTATAAGTTTCAAAGTTGTCATTCAATACATCGAACATCTGATTAGTCCAATTATTTGAAAGACTTAACAAAACATGATTATTGTACATTGTTTCATTAATAATACTTAACTTTTCACTTACATTTCCTTCATAGCAGCAAGTGGCAGGTCTTTGTGATTCTCCACTTGTCACCATGCCTCTTTTAAATACCTTAATATCATCTCAGCCCATTCGAAATGAAGCTGACAGTAAGAACCGCCCCTTGACTAAATACAATTAAATACAATCTGGAGATTGGGCACAGCTTACAGCCCTGGGTTCTCACGTGACACTGGGGGAAGACTGTAAATTTCCATTTACCAACAAAGCAGAAGCCACTGAATTATTAACTCTGTGTGTATCACTTGAGCTTGTTCACTCAGATTCTGAGACCTAGACTAAATAGGTAGGGTCAAGAGAGTTGTGGGCAATCCACACCTCCCAAGTGTGAACGGATAGTGTGCACTTCATTGGACACATTCTAGTAATAAGGTAAAAAAGTGTTGTACAAAGTTTTCAAAATTCCCTTATGTTACCCTCAACCTTCAACCCACCTTAAACTCCGCTTTTTCTTGTTTCACATTTTCCTTTACATATACAGTACCTTTGTATAGCTGATTAAATTATATGACTGTACTTGATAATGCATACTTACAAATTAGTTGTCTGCTAACTTAGTGCTCTTATTCATGGCAAGCGAAATACAGATTAAAGTCAATTTAACACAGAAAACGGAGATTCTGTTGCCTTCAATAAAACAAAAATAATCTTTCCAGATTCAAATATGAAGTATACAGCCAACACTATGGTTGGAATTTTGTAATTCTTTTGCTCGTGCCAAAAGAACTGATAAAATAACGGATGCCAAATCGAATACTTTGCTGCTTGAAGATGAAACTGGAGAATAATGTCAAAGGAGCCAAACTGGTATAAATCATTTACATGAGGCACACATTTGAAATGAAGTCTAACATGTATTCTAATGAGCCTTACAAAAACCTCTCAAACGAGAATTCTGTTGCTTAACACATTTGATAACACGTAGGCAGTTTTCACCAAAACTCCTGTGCTAACCAAAAATTGAAAATTTCTTTTCAAATAGCCCTTAAGCACAGTTTCTGACCCTAGTCTTTTTTCCCCAAAAAATTTGTGGTACACCATTTTAAACTCTCAGACTTGGGTAAAAAAGGAAACTTTAAAGTGGAAGAACAAGTCAAGTTTTCTTTTGTTTTTAATCACTGTTCTCACTCAGTGGCATTAGTGCAAGATCTTTTAATTTAAAAAAGCATTTTCCTATTAAGTCACATCTGAAATGTGAACAGTGCCTATAGGAAACCACTTCAGGAGCAGTTCACTTGTTAGTTAGATGTTCACTGGGTAGTTACATAATGTAATATGTTTCAAGTGCACATATTTTACCTGAAGGCTCATACATTTAAGTGCTTCTACATATACCACTTCACACTGCCTGCTGTATTCTAACATTCACTTATGTAGCGCACAGCAGAGACAAAAGCTATAACATTGATTTCATATTTTGAAAAAACATCCCCAGTTGTTAATTTTGTGATCATCAATAAAAAACCCAACATGTCTAAATGAGCTTCAGCCACTCTTGAAACATTTGGTTTTCCGTTTCCTTTTTAATCTGAACCTGCGGTTTTCGAGTATGTTATTTAAAAAGTAAATTTCAATTATCCTTCCACCAGACTAATAATCAAAGTCTTCTAAAGCAAAAATATGACATTTGTGAACCTGCAGTGGAAAACGTTTTAAAACTCACCATTCAAAAATTAAGCTTGGAACTGTTCAAAACAGTCATAGGATAATGAGTTACAGAATAAGTAAATTTACCTGCATATTTTTTACCATCATTAAATGCGCATGACAGCTCCAATAATAGAAATCTAATAAAACAGGTTGCTTACTATGCATAGAAAATGTTGAATTTAAAAGTAGAAGTCTTTTATAATGATACACTTGAATATTCTAAAAACAGCTAAGGAAATTCATTTTAGACAGTTGAGAATTACGAATTAGCAGGAAAACAAGGAAAAAGAAGCAGGTCACTGTGTGATCGTTAATAATTGACTTCTTCAGGCAGTTCAGGACAAGCTATAAAGATGTGTCAAACATACTGCCTATGTGATTAAATTCTAATGAAGTCATAGTGAACAAAGGTCAGTTACCATTCCCAATTACTTTTTTGTCATCTCTCTGTATCATCTGTCACATATCTACACTTTACACATGATGATACTATCAGGAATTGGTCAGTATCAAGTCATGAAATTAGACTTTTCTTTATTCCTAAAGGTTGAACACCATAAACTGTAGAAGATTTAATAATCACTGGCTTATTCTTCACAGCATTTTCAGCTGAATCCAAAAAGGTGTCCCTGAATTAGCTTCTTCGGTAAGGTAATGAGATGCACACAAAAAGACTGTGAGTTTTTTTAAACAACTCAGGTTGGTTTACTTAGACTTTGGAATCAACATGGAAATGCATTTTTTTTAGATTCCAGTAAACAACAGCTTCACAATTGCTTCAGTATCTACCCAAAGATTATATTAATATCACATGTGAAGAACTCACTACCAAACCTGATCATTTTACACCTGACCATGTAGGTACTATTAATTCGCTAGTGCATGAATACTGGAAAACGACATCAGATTGCCTATAAAGTGCTGTCTACCATACTAGCGTAATGTGCAGAAAAATATTTCCAGTTTAAAAAGGAGCATTTGGTTGATAATACTCCACTATGATCATATGAAAAAACAGATCATAATTGATCCATTTCAGGGTTTGTGAGCTCCAAGCTCTTCACAGATTCTACCAGTGAAGCACTGAAGATGGATGGGTTTTTACAAATCAGTTTTATGAATTGGGTTTTTATTAATTTAAATTTGACAAAAACACAACTATATCAAAACAAACAGCAAAAGTGGACATTTCCCCAACTCCCACACCCCCCACCTTGCTACCCCTCACCTTCCAGATTCCACTCAAAGGGAAACCTACACAAGAAACAGTCAGCTTTGAAAGAAACATCCTATAATAAAGATGTGAGAACGACAGCAGGACTGCAGTTGTAAGTTCAAGCATTTACCTTCACACATCAGACTATGCAAATGTATTCAAAATATGCCAGTTCCTCTTGCAACATACAGTAAGTCAAAATATTATGCAGTGGGAGACCTACTGGTTTCTATCCCACTTTCTCATGCAATGAAAAGCTGTTGTCTTCACAGTGACATTGAACTAGGCTTTCCATATAAATCCATCCTTCTGCCCAGGTTATACAATTGGCAGTTCTGATTTCCTGTGTTAAGAAAGGAAATTAAAAGTACTTACATGAACATAATCAAACAAAAAAAATGTACACTGCATACAGTATTATCCAAAAGTGAATCTCTAATCTGAAATGCATCTGTCCCCCATGTCTGAAAAAGTCTCTTCACTTTCACAATTACTGTACCTGTCACTTTCTGCTCCCCTCTCATGAGGAAGAGCAGAGCACAGAGCTGCTTTATGAGTCTGCTCCAGTGTTGCTTTTCTTCAGCCCTTCCAATGTCACTGTATAAGCAATAGGGGAGCAAGCTACCAATGTGACCAAAAACAGAACAAAAAAACAACCTCGCCAGGGTCCTAAAGTCATATTGACAATCCCTGTCCAGGCTGCAAACACTTAAAACCTCTTGTGGCAAGGGGTGAGAGGGGAGGGGGGCAGGGGGAGTGGGAATGTACTAAACACTGTCACTTTAATGAAACCACAACTCTTTGCAAAGAAAACTGGACACTTCCCAGACTTGGGGTGGGGGCCTGTCTATGTTCCAGCATCATAACTAAGGAGTCCAATGATCCTGCGACACTTCTCCAAGTCAAATTAATGGAGGAAAACTTGGAAATACTTCAACTGTCCCTACAGTCTCCCTGCACAACTCCCCCATGATAACCAGTCTGTCCCATTTTGAGCATTGTTCCATCCTGTCGAGACCATACTTTGTAAAAAAAAAAAGAAATTAAAATTGTGATATTTTTGCAACTACGAAAATGTTGAGCCAAGCTTCTGGTATGTACAAGATAACTAGACAATGTACTGAAAATACATACAAACATGACTAAAGGAGAAAGCAGATGTCATTTTTAAAGCTGTACAGTAAAAAGAGGAAACTTGTCAATTCTGCTTATCATGCACAGTCACAGTTATGAGGAAGGAAAGCAACAGAATGGCTTCTGCAGCTCAAAAAAGGGAAGTGTAAAATACAATGGTTGAAAAATCAAATTCTAAGCTGATTTTTAGAAATACAGCTATCTGCATTTACCGGGTGTATAGAAAAAGTATGTATAAACCAATTTAATTAAGCATTTGCACCTAGCTGGTTTGTAACGGTCCTGAAGTGCATCAGAGATAAATCTTACAAAAACCCTCGTTTAACTAAAGAAAAACAGAGCTTCTCAACCTCCATACGTCATGTCCCAGTACAAAATAAATCATAACTGGTAAGAGCTGGGGCTAGGATATATGCAAGAAGGACTTTAAGATAACAGCTTGCCATTGAGCATCAGACAAAAGCATTTCATACATCACCAAGTAGGACCTAAGAAGATATGAATCCTACATACTAGCCTGTGTGGTTAAAATACACATACAGTATTGCAAATTCCAGACCTGCTCAAGTGGTTCTGAACTACACTGCTGTTGTCCCCATTAGCCCCAGCATTTCTCACTGGCGTCTTGAAAAGATTTAATTGAGATGTAATCAAAAAGGTGGAAACCCTGCCAAACACAGCAGTGTGCAGTCTCCCTCCACTGAGTACATGCAAACTCTATACATTATGTAAAAGATTTATGGATTTAGAACACTAGACTTAGAAATGTAAGCCTCTCAGATTCTCAGAAGCCAGATCAGATTGGCTAGCCTACAGTATGCGAGTTACTGTACACCACGACCCACAGTGTCATTGACTGGGTACTACAAGCGGTCCTCTTCTTTATTTTGAAAATAAAGTGTGGTTTATACATAGTTCTTTATACTTTTACACTTCTAAAATGTACCCCCGCCGGCAGAAAAAAGCGAATTTTAATATTCACTAGGCTATCTTTTAACTGAACCTTACATGGAAAACAAGAAAAACAAGCTATAGTCCGAATAAGACTTTACTTGTTGTTTTGTCTGTTATCATGCC